CACTCTCACTTCTCCAACCCCTCATTCACCCTATACTCTTTTTACTAGATTTACCAATCAAGAGACTTATTTGTCTTCTTTTCTTATATTGGGGCTATTTTATTTAATAGATATGATTTTTGGGCATAAAAATAATTCTTAAATCCTTCAATAATTTAATTTTTTAAGATATTTTTTTTTCTTTGTTTATTCAAGGATTTGCTTAGTATAAACTTTTTTTTTATAGGTATTTCGGTAAAATTTCAATTACTACTTTAGTAGATTAAACATAAGATCAAACTTGACTAGTACAAGGATTTTTTTATATTTTATTTTACTTACTAATTTATTTATTTATATTTTTTTGCTAAAATATCCTCTCTTTTTTTTCTACAAGAAATATTTAAAAAATTATAAATTGAACATATCATAGTTTTCAATATATTTTTTATTCAAATCTCAGATGTATTTTAATTTATGCTTATTTTTTAGAGTTTAAGGTTTGTTGTTTAATTTATGTGCAATACTTATAACCAATGATGGGTGTATTTTTAGACTCTTTAATACTTTCTAACAAAGATTGCTGATAAAAAAAAATTGGATAAATTTATTTTATCAATTGTGTAGTAAATGGTAGAAATTCAAATATAAATCATCTAAAACTATGTTTTAGGATATTTGTTTTAATTATTATACAAGTTAAATGTTTATTAATCTCAAAATATCCAAATAAATTTTATTTAAAATGCATAGCCGTTTTAGACTCTTGAATAGATTTCCATCAATTAAAAACATGAACCAAGAAACAAAGTTCAGAAAACAATACTTTGGTTGTCTAAACAAGAGAGTTGTTTTTTTGTCAATAGTTTAAAATTGTGGTTTATAACTAAGAACTCCTAAGATTCCTTCAACAACATGGATAATAGGATGTGAAGAAATTAAAACATAATTAATAAAGCTAAATAACAATCTCTTCACAATTCAATTATCAACTAGAACAATTTATTTTCCAAAGTACGTATTATGCAGTCAGCTAATTCCAATAGTTTGAAATAAACTAAAAATAAAAATTTGAATATTAGTATTAATTTTGTTTTAATATTCAACTATTTAAAATATAAAATCACATTTTACATTTTTGAAATTCTATTTTGTAAAAAAATGGCATTGTTTTGAAATAACTAATTGTCCACACAAGGAATAGTTTGAATAGAACATTAAGAAATATTCAAGGGAATTTTGCAGGTACTTTCATCTTTGTTGATGCAATATATACTGATATCAGTATTTTAAATTTTAAAATGTTAAAGCAATATAAATAGAGATTCAATTTTACTAGTAATTTTTCCTTCACTTCTTCCTACCCTCCTATTTTCAATCACTTTCTCCAATACTGCCCAATACTAAGTCCTTGCACAAAGTCAATGCAAATTTAGTTACCAGCCTAATATAGAAGCAGAACAGATACAAACTCCATCTTAAACCGAAGAATTTTAAGCAGGTTTATCAACCCAATCAGAGGAAAAGGAAAAATAAGGGAAGACCAGTAGCTCATGTTATACAAATCTACTACATATCTGCTTCCTTCTTAACTTTTTCAAACATTAACGTCACAATTTCGCAGTCTGTGTTGATGCTGTGAAGCAAACCTCTCGAGCTGCTAGATTTATACCTCTACCTAGCGACCTAGAGGTTGCATGTGTTGCCCTCCTCCACAAGCTCAGTAATCTTCCAGTCTAGATGTATATATATCCATATATATGTATATATTTCTGTGTGTGTATGTATATATACTGAAGTTAAATCTTGTCAAATTTGTCTGCTTTCACTACAGGGTTAGCCTTGGCGATTGCATCCCGCCCAGCTGTTTTGTAATCGAAAGAGCAGCTGTGTTTGTCGGAGCAACGGTGCAAAGAGCAGAAGATGTTGCCGCAGCGGCACTTGAAACCTGTGAGTCCCACTCGTTTCTTGCATAAGAAGCAGCGGTAAGCTTGTGGGCGGCATGGGTGCTGACCTGAAGCGGAGGGCCCCACCTCAGTCGACGTACCTTGATCACCAGGTAGGTGAGCTGCCAAATACGAGCCGTCGCTTTTTGTTCTTTCTAAGCTGTGTTCGACTAAGAGTCTGGGTGCAGACGATGTTGCCACTACTTCAGCACCAGTGGCAGATGATTCTTTGGCTTCCGTCGAATCATAGTCCCTGTAGCACTTTGAACACATCCCTAAAGTTGTTGCACTTCCGAAGAAACCACAACTGTTGGTGCACATGAGAGGTCCTTCAGGAGGTTGACACTCGGTGTCGTCTTTCCCCTGAGACATGGTTGATGCCAAGGCCTGAAGAAGGTTTCGAGAATTCCCGGCTCTACCAATAGTACGCTGAAGGAACAATATCGCACTTTGTTCAACTTAGTTAACACGATTGGTTTTGCATTTTTTTTGAAGTTTTTTTAATTTTATTTGAGCACTTTCAGGCAGAGTTGAGATCAACTCATCAAGCAGGTGCTGAGGAGTTAAGATCCTGTTGAGAGGATGAGGTGTGACGCAAAATAAATAACTCGAAAGGCGCACACCTTCTCGCACTGATGAAAGAGGCAAGGGAGTGGTGTAGAACTGCAATCTACAGCACACCCTCCTGAAGATTGATGCACTTCCTTGTGATAAATAAACTGGAAACAGATAAACCTCTAGAGAACCTTGGAAGGCTCTTGAAAGTAAAAACGTGTCCATTGCGTACAAGCTATTGCAAAAGCAAACAATTCACTTATAACAAATAGAAAACCAACCAGAAGCTATATGGGATTACTGAAAAGAAAAGAAAAGTTTCTAAAAATCACAGGCGACAGATTAAAATGCCTGCTGGATATTTTAGTCAAGATTTACAGCCAATACAAGTATGCAACTCCATTGTGACCACAGAGCTAGCTCAATGCAAATGTTTGTTGTTATTCCAACGCGATTTCAAAGAAGAGATTAAACCAAAAAAAAAGACGTTTGGTAAGTATTCACCCTAGTTCACGGCAGCGACGCAATCAAGCCAACCTCGGCAGCCATAGTCGAACCTTAGCGCTGTTAGCCCTGAAACCAACAACACCCCGCCTCATAAAATCCTCTTCACGGTCACGGCACAGCCTCCATCGGACCCAAGTGGCTTCCCGCTGCTCTGCTTCCTCATCACACAACCACCATGCAGCAAAGTGAGCAAACTAAGCAAAGGAAGCAAAGTGGGCCTCTGTTTCTGCCAAAGCTTGGAACGAAGCCACGCTGAATGCTTAGTCTCATGCAAAGCATGCCCACTTTCTACACACAAACCTCGCCCCAAAACTCCTCCTTTTTCTGCTGCTTCCTTCACTTGATTGCATGGAAAAGTTTCATGTTTACAATACCATTTCTGGCATGAAGTGTTCCATATTGTGTGATTGTGTGGCTCTTGCGAGATGTGCCTCTTGAAAGTGAAGAGGCGCTGCTATTTGCATTGGTTCCCAAGCGATGCCCCAGTTCTGATACTACTGGAGTGGGATTTGCGATGTGATTGTTTGTTGGCTGGTTTCGTGATAATTAATGGGAGGGGGGGGGGGTATTGATTTGGATTTTATAAGCATCGTTTGAATTGTTGTTGTTGATTGTTTATTTATTTTAAACTTGGGAGGTTGTGTGTTGTATTCATTCTGCTCTGCCATTTGGCTGCATTTTATTAGATGCATTATGAGCTGCATTTTAAAAGGCTAATCTGAAATGTGTATTGTTTGTGTCTTGGGTGCCGTGTTTTTGTTTTGAAGTGGACGTTTGAAATAAGACTCAATTGCTGATTCTTTATTTAATTGTAGTTAATATATATAACAATGAGATACTTTGGGATTATCTATATGGGAGAAGTTTAAAATAGAAAAATGACATTTTAAAATCAGATTTGGGAATTATTGGAGAAAATGATTGAAAATAGGAGGGTAGGAAGAAGTGAAGGAAAAATTACTAGTAAAATTGAATCTCTATTTATATTGCTTTAACATTTTAAAATTTAAAATACTGATATCAGTATATATTGCATCAACAAAGATGAAAGTACCTGCAAAATTCCCTTGAATATTTCTTAATGTTCTATTCAAACTATTCCTTGTGTGGACAATTAGTTATTTCAAAACAATGCCATTTTTTTACAAAATAGAATTTCAAAAATGTAAAATGTGATTTTATATTTTAAATAGTTGAATATTAAAACAAAATTAATACTAATATTCAAATTTTTATTTTTAGTTTATTTCAAACTATTGGAATTAGCTGACTGCATAATACGTACTTTGGAAAATAAATTGTTCTAGTTGATAATTGAATTGTGAAGAGATTGTTATTTAGCTTTATTAATTATGTTTTAATTTCTTCACATCCTATTATCCATGTTGTTGAAGGAATCTTAGGAGTTCTTAGTTATAAACCACAATTTTAAACTATTGACAAAAAAACAACTCTCTTGTTTAGACAACCAAAGTATTGTTTTCTGAACTTTGTTTCTTGGTTCATGTTTTTAATTGATGGAAATCTATTCAAGAGTCTAAAACGGCTATGCATTTTAAATAAAATTTATTTGGATATTTTGAGATTAATAAACATTTAACTTGTATAATAATTAAAACAAATATCCTAAAACATAGTTTTAGATGATTTATATTTGAATTTCTACCATTTACTACACAATTGATAAAATAAATTTATCCAATTTTTTTTTATCAGCAATCTTTGTTAGAAAGTATTAAAGAGTCTAAAAATACACCCATCATTGGTTATAAGTATTGCACATAAATTAAACAACAGACCTTAAACTCTAAAAAATAAGCATAAATTAAAATACATCTGAGATTTGAATAAAAAATATATTGAAAACTATGATATGTTCAATTTATAATTTTTTAAATATTTCTTGTAGAAAAAAAAGAGAGGATATTTTAGCAAAAAAATATAAATAAATAAATTAGTAAGTAAAATAAAATATAAAAAAATCCTTGTACTAGTCAAGTTTGATCTTATGTTTAATCTACTAAAGTAGTACATTAAATTCTAATTAAATATCTATAAAAAAAAGTTTCATACATAGTACCTTATAGATTAATTAATTAAAATTTTAAAAACTTTAAAAAACCCCTTTTAAAAGAAATTTATTTATTTAGAGATTTAAGAATTATATTTAATCACTTTCTCTTCTAAAATCCTAGTTTTTTTCTACAACTCCACTGCCACAACTTCTTCTAATAAGGTCCACAATTCTCAACAAGCAAATAAACAAGCAACCTTTTTATAAAAACTAAATTGCAATTCTTCTCAAATAATTAGTTTTAAATTGAAGCTTATATAATGTTGTTATAGAACTAGTCTTGTATCAAAAAATAAAATCTCAAGAAGAAATCTAAATACAAGACTTCATCTCTTACATTCCAAGAACTCACTTTACATGCAAGACTTGAGAGGAAAGAAAAAATAGAAGAGCAACCAAGAATTTGTTCTACCAAATCAATCTCCAAATATCTCCTTTCATACTTCTTCAAAGTTGGGTATTAATAGTCAAATACTACTCAATATAAATCTATCTTGAGGACTTTATTATCACTAAAACTAACCTATTCTAAATTAAAAGATAACACTTAACTACCACATCATAGAATGACATGATAACCAATAGAATAGTTCATATTTAATATTTTCAATAATACTTCCACTTGATCCTTATTTAAAATTCTTTTAAGATTATAAATTATAATATCTACTTAATATATTTTAAGATTAAATGTGTTATCTACTTATTAGTTTAAAATCATCTTACTAACAAACTTAATAAAAATAAAACAATTTATAAGCAAATCTTAAGTAATTATAAATAATT